GTGATATCTTACAGTATTTGTCTTTCCTCAGAGCATACATACATTCTTAATAGGACAGTTGGTTAGGGGTGAAGAGGAATTAGACAACTTTGTAAGCATAGAGATAATATATATGGTACATAAATCCATAAAAAGTCTATTTGTGATATTAAAATTTCATGGGGGAGCTTAGGTGGAAAATGTCTAAAAATAGTCCTTAGATGATAATTTCAAAAAATGTTGAGAAACACTGTTCTACAGCAGTGATTCTCCAAGTGTGGTCTGTGGTTAAAAGTACAAATTCTCACCCTCACCCAACCCCAGAGTTACCAAATTGGAAATTCTGGGGGTGGGGCCCAGCAATCTATGATTTAATAAGCCCTCCAGGTGATTCTGATGGGCACTAAAGTTTGAGAACCACTGCCCTAGACAATCTGAATGGGGTAGGGTTATAGGAATTTCTATCTTTAACAAGCTCTCCTAAGGTACTTTGAAGGAAACTTTGACATGGAGGATTTTGAAAGAACTTTGAAAAGTGTAAGTGACTTTCCAGACGGTAAAATACTATTTTTATTAGGAGGAAACACGGTAAAGAATATTAGCAAAGGTCACTAATTACTGAGCACTTAGTTGTGCCTCTGACTCTACTTGCACAGCCTATTAATTCTCATGAACAACCCGTGAAGGAACTTAAAGAGGGTGGGCTCTGAAGCCAGACTGCCTGGGTTCTTATCCAGCTTGTGACTTGGTTCATGCATCTGTAAAGTGGGGGAAATGAATTATTGATTCATAATCATTAAGGTATTTCCCTTATAGATGTGTTGTGAGGATTAAAGTTTATTGATCAGCTCTTAGAACACTTGCCATGTTAGCACCACTTACATGTAAGCTATTTTCATCATCCCTAAGCAGCACCCTGTTAAAAGTGGGTTTGAACCCAATCACTGTAATTTCTGGGTGTACTTTATTAAGGACTAAGCTGTAGTTCAGTGGTTCTAAAAGAGATCCCTTCACCAGTAGCACACCAGAAAGCTTGTTAGAAATGCAAATATTACATCGTATCCCAGATCTGCTGAATTCGAAACTGTGGGGTTGGGCCCAGTAGTCTATAAGTTTTAACAAACCCTTCATGTGATTCTAATGTACACTAGAGTTTGGGAATTGCAGCTACAGTCTTTAGGGGTCCTGGTGTGTGGCAGAGAGGGTTTCAAAAACAAAAACCAAAACAAAACCTAGAGCTACTGGGAGCAATCCAAGAGTCCCTCCCACCGAGGGGAGAGCAAACTCCGACCTGGCAGTGCTCACAAGCCTCTGCTAGCATTTCGAGCCGATGGCTGGCTAGTGCGCAAGGCCTTCTGGGGCTTGTAGTTCGGATCTCTCCCAAGCTGGAGGCGCCTGCGCGTTGTCCGCCAACTCGCTCCGGTTGCTGTGGTCGGGGCTCGGGACCGGCTGCCATCTTAGTCGAGGGACTGGAGAGTCGCCGCCGCCCCGAGTCCCGGTAAAAACCCGCGGGCGGACTGGAGGCAGTTCTGGGGAGAGGAGGTATCTTGGATGAGGGTGTCTGAGGAGAACGAGGGGTGGAGGAGTGCGGCGCGACCACCGGGACTCCGGAGCCAGGGCTGCTTCCTCTTATCGGAGCCGGTGCCCGTGGGGGACATGGGGAGCTCGGGCAAGTGGCAGGGGACCGGCGGGGGGGTGGGTCGGCCGGATGGCCGAGAGGCCACAGTTGGGTTCCGGCGTCCAGAGCCCCTCGCTTCTGGGAGCGCCAAGTTGTGAGAGCGCTGGGCCGGGGCGGGCGCCGGCAGGGTCCGGCCCCGCGCCCCTCAGCCCCGCCCGGGGTCCACTCTCCCGCGGCCCGGCCTACGCGCGGGGCCCGGCAGCAGCGGCCGGCGTGGACGACGTGGCCCTGCAAGGGGCGGCGGCCGGGCCCACCTGCCACCCGGCTGGCTTTGCGGAGAATTTGTGGCGCTTTCCGTCGCGAGGGGGTGCCCAGCACAGCGGCTGCCTCCCTTTCTCTCTTCCATTCCCCTCCTCCCTCCATTGTCCCCCAGCGTGGTGGTCCCGGCCCCCGCGCCTTACTCGGCGCCCGTCGCCGCCCGGGCTCCGCCGGCGCCTCCCGGCGCAGAGTTTGCGGACGTGGAGCTGTCACTGCCCTTCTTCTGAGTGCCCTTTTACTTTAGCAGAGAGAAGAAAAAAGTAGTCGTGAACGTATTCTAAGGGTCGAAACATGATGAGGACATGACTTAATGGGGACTATGGGGAAGAAGTCAAGTTTTCAGGCTTAGCTCCGGGATGTGGCTGAAAGAAACACAGGGTCTGGGCGCCCCCAGGTAGACGTACGGCCTAAAGTTCGAGATGGAACCAGGTGAAATGGCAAACTACTCGAAATACATACAATAACAACTCAACTTGTTTTCTTGTTTATATTCGTATCTTAATATTGTTAGATTTTCTGCCATTATTCTACAGCTTCGGTATACTTTTTTGGGAGAAGGGTGGGTAAGGGAGAGTGGGATTTTTCTTTGAAAGTTAACGAGGCACCGGAGCCAGCCGCCTATCATTGTATTTAGGAGTCTCCGCATCTATTCCTAATATAATTAGATCTTAAGGAAGTACTAAAGGCAGCGTATCTCCACCTTCAAAATGGGCTAAGGATTTGTTTCTCAGCCAAAATAAAGTTCTCATGACGGATCTGGTGAGAAGCTGCACTGTGTTTTCATAGGTTTACTCAAGGTACAATTACTTCATTTTTAAGATTTTTAAGTGAAGGTGGAAAGTCAACTACTTTTTTGAACAGTTGAATGTAAGTTTTTTTTTGGGTGTGAATCCAAAAGGAATTCCTTCATCTTCAACATGTGTCGAGTCAACAAAGATGTGATATAAAATAAACAAATGCAGGATACTTCTTCACTGTATTCTAGAGTATATTATTTCTGCATTCTTTAAAGAAACATCTTTAGACTTATTGGAAGAGACAAACCAGTACTCCCCAAATCTGGCAATTAGAATAATAGGGGAACTTTTTTGAAAAGTAGAAATTCTGAGGTCTTATCTCCTAAGATTGATTTTGATGTTTGGGGCAGCCTTGACAAATTTATTTCTGAAACTTGCCTCAGGCAATTCTTATGGTCTTGGGAACCACTGAGGCAAATAATACTGTAAACAAAAAGTTTTGAGACGGAAAAGGAAGTAACTCGTTCTGTCTTGGTTGACCTGAGAAGGAGGAAGGGGAAGGACCTGCCCCTGGACCTAAGTTGGGTCTTAGGTGATGAGTAGGAGTGTGACTGGGATGGGGAAAGGGAAGGACAGAGCAGACCGAGGAAACATGTAATGCTGTGTGTAAATGCAGAGGATTGTGGAAGAAAAAGGGAGCAAAGAGTGGGATGTGAAACCAGAAAGGTGATAGGAGGCAACTATATAAAAAGTTCTAAGTATAGTGCAAAAAAACTTGTTTTATATTGTTACCAATTGATACAGGTTTTTAAACAGGGAAGTGGTATGAGTACATGTTTGTTTTAGAAAGATTGCTCTGGTGATAAGGTTGAGAGGATGGAAGAGTGGCTGTTGCAGAGGTCTAGGTGGTAAGTGAAAAGGCTTGACCTTGTAGAGAGGCTGTGGGGAAGATCAAGGGATTGGATTTAGTTCTTGACTAGTGCAATATTGTTGCCCTGTTTTTGTATGACGATTTTTTTTTAGTGCCAGTCTGGATAAAGGACTTTTTCTGTCAGAAGAACCCATTAGCAGATCTAAATAATACTGCCAGGTTATATATGTTAATGGTATCGGATAGTATTGTTTATTAGCATCCTTGAAAAATTAGAACCAGGTCAGGTGTAGTTTGGAGGAGAATTTGGAAATTAGACTGAAATTTATGACTGTAGATACCATTGATCTAAGCTTGTTAGAATTGTTTTTCTCCCACCCTCAGAATCTTGGTATTATAATTTTTTTGTTTTTAAAGACAGTGGTTTTTTTGGGGGGTGGGAAGGGAGAAGGTAACTAGGTTTATGTATTTATTTGTTATTTTTTTTAATGGAGGTACTGGAGATTGAACCTAGGACCTTATGAATACTAAGCACACACTCTACCACTGAGCTATTCTTCCCCTCTCCCATTAGAATTTTAGAGTTGGAAGGGATTGCAGAGATTATCTAGTCCACAGTGTCAGATATTTTGTTTTATGGGCCAGCTTTCCTTTGAAGTAGCTGCCAGAAACCCTGTTTTGAGAAAGATTTTGGTCATATGGGTTCTCTGGAGAAGTGAGTTATGATTGATTAATGATGCCTCCTGTGGGCACAGTTATTTAGTGGGTGGTATATATGCCAGGTATGTGCTATTCTGAGCCTTGTCCAACCTGTTAGTTTTCTGTTTGTTAAAAAAAAGTCCTAAGCAAGTTAAATTATTTGTCTAAAACTATCTAAGAATCAGAACTAGAAATAGAACCAAGTTTTGTAACTCTTAGGCTGTTGTTCTCCAGTGTGCTGAGATGAAAGTGTGCCACTAAAGAGCTTTTGGTATTAGACCAAAAGAAAAAAGTATTTCTAGCCTGTGCCTCTTGACTGTTTAGGCAAGAGTTTAACAAGGAACTTTGGCCCAGAAGTGAGTTTTGTTGGATTCATTCTGGCTTAAGAAGTTTGTGTTAGTAGGAAATAGTCACCTCCCCTGCCCCCCACTTCCTCAATTTTGGGTTTTGGAATTGGTTTCCTTTATATGAGTTAAAGCAAAAGTATATAAAGTTTTTTTTCCTCCTCTATTTATAGCACTTAGACAAATTCTGGGCTCATAATAAGCGCTCAGTAAAGGCATGTTGATTTTTGTGGCTGTAAACGATACTGGCTTTGAGTCAATATAAATTAGCAAGCGAGAGGTTGCAGAATTGAATTGCAGCATTTCTCTGGTTGACAGGTCAGTCCTCAGTTAAAAATGTTTGGTTGGAAACTAGTCTCACTACTAGAAGTAGTTAACCAAAAGCTGCTGTTCTTGCCTCTCTCCTCCTTCAGTCTGACAGCATTCTGTCCTTGAAGAACTGCTGCCAGCTCAGCTTTTTTTTTTTTTTGTCTTTTCAGAACTGACTATGCTCAGATCCTTGAAGTGCTTTGTATTTTCTTATCCTAGGAGCTTCCAAATTATAGAGACTGTCCTTAGCGTGACCCCAGTACGTAGAATATGTGTTTATATGGCTATCCTCATTTTGCCATGCAGCCATCATACTCAGATGGAGACCACCTCATACTGTGTATGAGTCATTTTCCCCTCAACTCACATTCTTATCCTGCTTGCTCCATCAAAAATTATCCATCCCATGAAAATTTTGAAAGGACATTGTGTTGTCAGATTTCCAAGGTCATCGCTGATCCAGTGTGTTTAACTATACGAATAATGTGTTAATGGACCTCCCTCCCCTCTCAGGTAACATGCATGTAACAGTGGCCTTCTGGAGACAGCGCCTTAACCCAAAGAAGTGACTCCGAACGGTGAAAACTTCAGGTATAGTGGCATGTTTGTGAGGGAGATTGGGGGGCAGGCATGGTGCTGAGGGTGAGCCTTGGTCATATTAACTGCTGTAGGAAGGTGTGGGGAGAGACCAGTGTTGATGCTGGTTACATCAGTTGATTGACGATATAGGCAGTTTCCGCTAGGATCTAAAACCCAAAGCTGCTTCTATTCTACAAGGATTAGCCTGTGAGCCACTTGGAATTCTTAATTTGGGTCCTCTGACTTCTGTGTTTTTCTAGCTTCCTTACACATGCACACACTTTTCCCACTTGTACTTTTTATAAACATTTATCTCTGTAGACTTGTCAAGACATGTGCATGTATATAGTTTAAAAGTATAGGAATTAAGAAGAAGGCAATATGGTGCAGTGGGAAAAGAGCAGAGAGCATGGAAAGGAAAGGTCTGGGTTCTGGTTTGATTCTGCTGTTGACAAACTCTGTTAGCAAATTATTTAATCTTGACCCAGTTAACATAGCTGTAAAATAGATGTGCTGATTCCTACCTGCCTCCCTGGCATTGTTGTGAGGATCAAATAAAATAATACATTAAATCTTTTGAGAAAAGTGAGTTCACAATTTAAGGCATAATCTAGAGAAGTTAGCAATAATAGTGAAAAATAAAACACAAGGACAGGACAGACTCACTTTAAAAGATCAAGCAAGAGAGAAAAATATCAGGAGAGAGAAAAGGAAGACTACTGGCTAAGAAAAAAAATAAAGGATAGAAAAAGTTAAACAGTAAGAGAATAGGGAGTGAATGAAGTAGAGCACAGGAATTGGTAGGTGAGAAAGCTGACTAGGAAGAGAATGGTCCCTTTCATTTGCCTATCCCTAACCTTATTGTCATTGTCATTACCACTTCCCTTCACTTAAGTGTTCCATCCATACCTGGATTTGTATCTCCACTGTAAACATCAACATTTATTATTCATTCAACTGTGTGATCCTTTGTGTTCAGTTTGTATTTTTGTTAACTAATTGCCTTATAAATGCCAAGAGACCAAGGCTGTGATTTGCTTATGATGGTGTCTCAGACTTGTGCTATAATCCACTGTGCGCTTAATTTGTTCTTTTTTATAATTATGCAGAGAAGGGAAGGAGATGGTTGGGTGTGATAGATACTAGGAAAGGAAAAGACAAAAAGTAGATAAATAAGAGATGGTAAGAGGAAGAATTCTCAGGATAATGAAAGACATGAAAATTAAAAAAATATGTAGAACAATAAAGAGATCGTGTTATTTGCAGTTAAAGGAACAAAGCAACTTTCATATCTTTAATGGTGATATACTACCTCCCAAAAAGTTGTGTGCTGGAAAAGATCATTCTTCATACCAAATACCTTTAAAATATTTCTAAAAGTATCCACTTCATCTTGAACTCATCTTTGTCAAAGGAGAACTAGTCCAACATACAGGAGCCTGGGTTCTAGCCTTGGTATTGTTACTTAAATTCTGTGAGCTGGACCAATCCACTTAAATCTGTAGACTTCATTACTTGTCTATTGACAGTATGAACATAATGCTCTTTCAAGTTCTTTCTGGCTCACTCTTTGATTATTCTTTGTGCCTCATATGCCGGCTCACTAATTTTTCAGGGCTTTGTTTATATCACAGTATAGGACTGGTCTCAGAAATATCTTATAATAAGACTTCATAATACCCAGTGCTTTATAAATGAGAAGCCATTTTAAGTTCTTCTTTAAACATTGGTGGAGAGACTTGTAGGAGACCTAAGTGTGGAATTGTTAAGTTTGTAATATTCAGCAAGCATTTATTGAGCCCGTTAGGCTAGGTTCCAAGGGGTACTCTATCTAAAGGATTTTGTGTTTTTTGTCAGGAAAACAAACTTGTTCACTAGTAACTGTTGTAAAAAGCAAAATGATAAATGCTGTAATAAGGGTTTCATTACGTTGCAATTTTGGATATTTGGATTTCTTAGTGTATTCCATTAATATAGCTGAATATATGCCAAGAGCTGCTTTGTGGGAGGCATTACTGGGACTCATGATGGAAAAAGCAGTATCTGTCCTTGAGAAACTTACAGTTGTTTCCACATTTGCAAACTGTTTATCCTAATAGATATACCCTTCTGCCCCGGGAAAGAGAGGAAATTTTGTGCTTTATCATCACTTTATAGTTTTAAACTAAGAATTCATCTGCATATTGAGCTTCTCTTACTCCAGAAATAGTCTGATAACAAATATATGTGGTTTTATTGGATTCCCCAAACTTTCCTCTTTAAATTACAGAGAAATTTTTCTTTTAAGACAAGGAAAAAAAGCCAGAAATGCCATCTACATTTAGGTGAACTTTGGGTTGTTTCTTAGTCATTTGTGCAAAGAAAGAGTAGGCTCTAAAATTTAGTCTTTTGAGTCTTTGTTCCAGACAGTCAATTCAGCTGGTCACAGAGGAAAGGATGGTAGTCTAAAGGAATCATATTGTAGGGGTTAACAGTGTATGCTGGAGTTAGATTGTCTGATTTTTGAATTTTGGTTTTACCATGTACTGGCATTATGACTTGGCTAAGTTGCTTAACTTCTTTGTGCCTTAGTTTCCTCATCTGTAAATTGGCTATAATAATAGCATATACCCATAGGGTTGTGTGGATTAAATGAAATAATGTATTTTTGCATGAACAATAGTTGTCTCAAAACAAGTATGAAATGTTAATTACCATTATTATGTTGTTACCATTGTTGTTGTCATTATCACATTATCATCATCACCAACCTTGTCTTTCTTAAAATTATCTTCTCAATTTATAAATTCATTCAGTAAATTTAGCCAGGGTGAGCACCATGAAATCAGATGCCTACAAGGGCTAGATGAATATTTTGAGTAGTAAAGCTAGATCAGATTGAGACTTAAGTGAATTAGGGAATTCATGTCATTGCAGTGGTACAGCTGTTACACAGCTTTGGCTTACTTTTTTTTTTTAAATTGAGGTGAAACTCATCATTTTAAAATAGATAATTCTGTCTGTGTCACTTGTTCTAGAGGTGTGTGTAGACAGAGTGTGGCCTGAACATCTTTTTCTAAAGAGGAGCTAGAATTCCAGATTTTGTGGGAAATTTTTATTTTTAAATGTTGGCAACTTAATGAATTCATAAAAACTCTGTGGGCCAAACAGATCACCACTGTGGACAGAATTTGTCTTATTGGTTGCTGCTCTGCAACCTCTGATCTGGGGCTTGACTTTTTGCAGCATAACTTGTGTTCCCTGCCCTTTGGGAATAAAGTTCTTACCCACATAGAGATTTTAAAAGTAAGCAATACCTTACAGCAGTCTAGGGCTGAATGAGGGGTATACAGAATAATTATTAAGGCAAAGAGGATGAGGGAAGTTAAGACTGGGTTTCAGAATGGGCAAAACTGTAGAGGCAGGAATGGACTTGTGACAGTGCAAGTGCAGTGAACAGATAGTTGGAATTTAGATTAGTCTGAAGAGAGTTTGTGTGACTCTGGTAAGAAGAGAAAGTTAGGAAAAATTAAGAGACCAGTGATGGCAGAATAGTTTCTATTCCTTTTTAGGTTCTTTGGCTGGTCTAATAATAAAGACAGATTAATAGGAGAGAGACAGATCGATTTCTTAAGTATAGTACAGGAATCCCATTAAAGTATGAGACTCAAAGGGCAGCCAAATAATAGAGGTTTATTTTATGTAAACATCCTGAGCTAAGGAAAGGGTTAAGTGTCTGGGGATACAAAAAGGGAAGGAAGAGACCTTTCACTGGAAGAGGAGAGATATTTGGAAAACAAAGGTTGCCCTGTAATACAGCTAAGTTTCTTAGGTAAAAAGATATCTCAAGTAATAGTTCTCTTCGGGTAGAGGCCTCCTTTCCAATGTAAATTTAGGCAGTTGAGGGGGTAGGTAAAGGGCTTTTCCTGAATCTGTTGGCTTTTGACTGTCTTCAGTGCAAAATAATCCTTATGCCCGAAGTGGCACATTTTGGGGTGACAAATTCTGCTCCCCTTCACCAGCTTTCTTATTTTGAGATAAGCTTGAGTCCTATTGAATGACAGGATGAAATGATATTTTATGAAGATTTGTTGGGTAGTATTGAGTTCTCCAGTATTAGTAGGTTTGGTAGGGTTTGAAGGCAGGGAAGCCAGGCTAGGGAGGTGGTAGTGGGAATGGAAGAGGAGGGACAAAAGCTTGTATTTGGGTCACCCTGTAACAATGGGACCCTACAGTAAAGAGGGCACATTTTGAAAGCTTTTCCCCTATTCTTTCTTCTGTAAAAACTAGCATATGCAAAGGTAATAGTTAAGAGGGTATCCCTTTTTTTCATGTTGGAATGTGGATCTTTGTTACTCTCAGCCCCAGAGCCCTCCTTAATGATAGATAACATAGTCTTATGATTTCCTAGCTTGGGTAAGAAGAATAGAAAGAAAAGGAAAAATCAAAGTAATTCAACTGCTTATCACATTTCTAGTTTCAGATTTTCGGTTTTTTGGTGATCTCAGTTAAGCTCTGATAAATATCTGTAGACTTAGTTTATATGTGGAATTTTTGTATTTGCCAAGATTTGGAAGCACCGACAGTTTTTTCATGGAAAAGATGTAGAATTTCGTTGCAGAAACTTGGCATAATAATTAACTCATGATTCAGAATGTTTAATGAAACTGATAAATGTAGAAAGGTGGAATGTGTTTATTCTGTATAACCTGAGAAAGTGATTTTTAGGATTTAATTTTCACCAGGTCTTTTGTTCTGTTTATATGTTCTCATTAACATTTTCTTGACATAAACAGTTAAATTATTCCTTATTCTTGACTAAAATGTGAAATGTAGTTATTATAAGTAGTCTTTTTAGTAAGTAAGCTGAATATTGTTAGATATACCCTGAGTATTAAGAATATTTCAGATGTAGCAACATTTCCTTTATTGATGAATAAGAATACTGAACTGAGCCTCTGAAAATTATACAGAGTTGCTGCCATCATAGAGATATAGCAACAGCTTCAAACTGAGCTAAATCTAAATCTCAT